CCTTGTGATACAATTTGAAGCAAAGTAATTTAGTTGTAGTTATTGCTCTACTTCAGTGGGAAGGGGTATACTTTTACTCTCTCTCTTAACAAATGTCTTGTTTTAGTGGTTAAATATGTGAGGCATTTTAATAAAAATTTAAAAGCACTTGATTGTATACTTACAAAATATGTATGAATGTATGTAGTTATTTAGTGGTCCTGGGGATGGAACCCAAGGCCTTCCTACTGAGGTACATCCCCAGCCTTTTATATTTTATTGTGAGGCAGGGCCAGTAAAGCCTTTAAGTTGCTCTGACTGGGCTCACACCTGTGATCGTTCTGCCTCAGCTTCCTAGACTCCTGGGATTATAGATGTGTGCCACCCCACCTGCCTGATGATTTTATATTTTAGCTACTATCCTGAAAATGGGCCCCTCTGAGAGACACACAAATTCAAACTTACTCAATTAAACATTCTCAATGCCTTTGAGTTTATTTTAAAATATAAGTTGCCTAACATTTCTTTTTATTTTTTCTTGTTAGTGAATGATTCTCATATTTTGGGATGCAGTATTGTGATTTCATTGATTATGATTTGGGAATGAAATAGATCAAGTGTGGGAAAATACGATTTCAAAGTCAATTTAAAGCTCTGCGTGTAGAGGAGAGTGATCCTAACTGGTCATGAATTTGAGGTGTTGATTCTTACAGTAATACGGGCTGACAAAAATGGAGATTATCCCTAGAGGAAAATGGCAGTGATTGCCATAGCAGAATGGAGGCTTGATTTCTATAAGTTGTTTTCAGTTTCCTCTAGCAGTCACAATTGTCCCGTGAATTGTGCACCCGTGATAAACTACAGGTGAAATAGACTAAAAACTACAAGGATAATCCATTCTCCCAAAGTTCATAACCACTTTCCAGGTGTGGTATTAGTCAGAATGCAGGTGTATGTGTTGTGTTTTAGACAGGGGATGGTGCTGCCGAAGGTGACACTAGCTAGAGCTGCAGTGGTCCAGCTGCATGGTATAGAACACCCTACATTTGGACCCTGTAGGTTACCACGGAGAATGGGAGCAATTGCCCCTTCCCTTCAGAAAATTGTAAACTTCTTGATATGTTCTCTTATTATCAAGAGCATTATTTAAAGACTTCTCTAATGGCTCATTCACCTGGATGAGGTTGGAGTATCTAGAATCAAACTTGGACGTGGGCTCACAATGGGCCTCTTAGAGAATCAGAGATCAGTGGGAAAGGAGGGCTGTATATACTTTGCTTCCAATTTAACGTACTAGTATTTTAATCCTATATTTCCACTTAGTTTTTGTTTGGTAAATCACATTTCATTAATTTCACAATAAAAGTATAGCTGCACTTTGCTGTTGAAATGTAAAATAAAATTACATATTAATATTAAGAAAATTAGAATTATGTTTTGCTTATGTAATCTTTGCATATTGTTATGCTTATGTAACAGGTCATCGTTTTGTTTTCTGGGGTTTTAAAAAAGTTTTATAAAAATGACACCAACCTGCAATTTATTGACTCTCGCTATCAAATGAAAGTTAAGGGAAACAATAATAAAGGATGTAGAAGCAATGCTTAACATACTTTCAAAATGAGGGTTTCTGTTCGTCATCTCCAGGGGAAAACTTGTTTTTTGGCTAGAAGTTAAAAAAAATATAGTGTACTATTTTTCCATCTCATATTTTGCAGTGCTAAATAACATCAGGATTAGTTGACAAATGTTGTGGATATCAGACAATACCGCAAAAAAAATGGTAACGGATGCATATGTTTTTGAAGGTGCTTTATATGTTTGATGAGAAAGGCCAAGTTTAAAAGCCAAGGCTCACATTGAGTATATACTCCTAAGTGAAATAAATAAGTCACACATGTGTAAATACCAAATAGTTTTTCTGGTGTGAATAAACTATAATAGTACATAAGATCCTAATGATATAATGGACCATGTGAAATAGGAAGAAAAGGGTTAAAGGTGTAGGGAAAGTGGGAAGGGTAGGGGAAAGGTAATAAGGGAAAAGTAAAAAATATGAGAAAATCAAAAAATGGAAATAAAGTGTTTGTAAATGGGGAGGGGAGGAGGGGGTGAAGGGAGGGCAGGACAAGGGGTTAAAAGTGAGAACCAAGACCTGTGATGTAAAGGTACAAGATCCCAATGATGAATGTAACTGTACTGTATCCCTAAAAATGTACCAATAAACTCAATGAGGAAAAAAAAAATCAAAGTCAAGGCTAATGGAAAAGCTCAATTACTATGAGGAATTTGATCTCTCTTGTATAAGAGGTTTGATTATTTGAAGGGTCAGTCACTGGAACACTTCATTCTGTGACTAAAAGTTTAGCTAAAATAAAGATACATAAATGTGTATATACTGATTAGTGAACCCTCCTTAAGTTGGTGCGTACTTCTTTCAGCTATGGAAAATTGGCAAAAATTTCGTATCAAAGGGGTTGTCTGAGATTCAGATAGCCTTCTTACAGATGGTTTTATGTGGAGATATATTGCTTTTTTCCCCTGACCCGGTCAGATTCAAAGTGGGCAAGAGGTAGATAATAGAAAATATCAAAATGAGTCTTCAGCTCTTACACATCTTTTCACTTGAGGCTCTGTCTGCCAGGTCTCTTCTCTCTCTCTCTCTCTCTCTCTCTCTCTCTCTCTCTCTCTCTCTCTCTCTCTCTCTCTCAGCTATTTTCCACAAATTCCAGGCTTACTCTTGTGTAACATCCTGCTCTTTTGTTTTCTTTTGTTGTTGTTGTTGTTTTGTTTTGTTTTTTGAGACAGGGTCTCACTATGTAGTTGAGACTGACCTGGAAGTCACTCTGTAGCCCAGGCTGGTCTCAGACTCACAGGAGTCCTCCTGTCTCAGCCTTCAAGTGCTGGGATTACAGGCATGTGTCACCACACCCGGCAGTCCCACCTTTCAAAATCTTGCCACTATATACTGGGGATCAACCAGCCTTTCAGCATGTCAGGTTTTGGAGGACACACTCACACTGTATCCAAACCATAGCAGGTGGTGGGATTGGGTGTGCTTTGTTTTTGCCATTTTGTTTGCTGTGTGTGAAGCACTGAGCAAATTAGATGTCATTCTTGCCTTCATGGGTCTTATTAGATGATGGCAGTGTTTTAAGTGCTAACTCTAGATATTTTGTTATAGATTAAAAGCTGTCATCTCATGTACTATTTTATTTGTTTAAAAAGTTCTTCTCTATTTGAAAGAATGGGGAAGTAAACAACACAGAGTTACAAAATGGGAGTTTGGGACCCCAGATTCACTCCTGAATTTGTTAAATGTGTGAAATAAAAATATTAGTTAGGAAAAACTTGATGGAAGCCACGGTAATTATTTTTAAAATGAGCTGTTCTATATATAAAACACTTTCTGCATCTCCTTCTTCTCTGTGTATAACACTTTGCCTGGACCACAGAGTCAATAATTTCCAAATCAAACATAACTTCTACCTTCATGGAGTTTGACTTTGATCTGGAAATTAAACACCTTGGGTGTGGACCTAGACAGTGGCAGTTTTATCTCAGAATGTATCTACTGACATTTCTTCTGTTTTATTTGACTTTGTCCAAGAAACACTAGAGGGAACCTAATGTGATCCAAAGATTTCAGAAAGGCTTTTGGATGAAGTTATTTCTAAGTAAGACACGAATAGAAGGTGAAAAAAGTTAGTCAACTGGAGGACAAAACTAAATGAAACCTTTTGCAGTTCTCTTCTTAAAATAGTACACACATACTCTGCTCTGGTCACTGACATGTCTGTTGTTTTCCTGTGAGCATCTCCTCTATGCAGTGTTCTTGTTGTCTAGCCTGCTGCGCCGGACTCAGGAGGTACAGGAGAAAGGGATGAAGGCTGAACTGTGCCTGTACCCTCATAAGTTACCCTTTCTCTTGAGCTAAAACTTCAGTAACAGAATTTGATTGTTATATCAGCTATAGCAAGATTCTTGAATATATTCTAAATTTTTAATTCCCTAGTAATCTAAACCTAATAATGGGGCATAAATGCTCATGTTTCTAGCCTCTACAGAATGATTAAAAAGTTTCACTCTTAAAATTCTATAGTAACTTCCTGTAAGAGAGGGAAAATTTGAATAGTGACACTACATGTTTTTGTCAAGAATTGGTGTAATTTCCAGTGTAATCCGAAAAACAATTAAGAAAAAAAAACATTGTCTAGGAACAGTGGTGCATGCCTGTAATCTCTGCCACTTAGAAGTTTGAGGCAGGAGGATCTCAGTATAAGGCCAGCCTGGGCGACTTAGACTCTCTCAAAATACTGTGGAAAGGGCTGTGGATAGTACGTGGGGCTCTTCTTTTTGACATATAGCGAAATAACTTTTTTTTTCTTTTTTTCCACTACCGGGTATTGAACTCAGGACATTGCCCTTGCACTTGAGCGGCAGGCAGCAACACTACAGAGCTAAATCCCTAGCCCCTGGATGCCTTTTCTTACCTTATAATTTCAAAAAGATTTTGTCTGTAAAATCTGCTCACTCCAGTATTTTCAGAGTTCTGGCAAAATAAAAATTATTGTTGTGAATATAGATGTAACATTTAAATAAGTCAATTCATCAATTTAACTGTTATAAAAGATTTTGAGTATTTTACCATAAAATACATAACAACTTGCATTTACACTTGGAAAATATGTGATAATTAAAGTAATTGGGTTAGTTGGATTTTGTATGTTAATGTAGAGGGACATGTATTCACTGTGAAAAAGGTTAGTTAACATATTGTGGACACATATTACTTTTATACATAGACATGTTTAACATAAAACCTAGAGGAAAAGATGATTCAGCTGTGGTTAAACGTAGGGATGTGAGAGCATGCAACTTCATCCACTAAAAAATCCACCTACTTGTCTTAGGTTTCCTTTGTTCAGAAGGTAATGGTGACTTTGAAGTCATTAGGAAATATTGATTTATCATGTTATAGCCCAAGGGATATTAATGCCTTCTCTTTTTTTTCCTTCTAGCACACTGATTTATGTCAGTACATGGACAAGCACCCAGGGGGGCTCCATCCAGCTAATGTGAAGGTAGGAAAAGGAATTTTGAAGCGCAGACTTAGCATCTTTATGTGCCTTTTCTGAGCCTAATATCTCTACTGTACCTTACATTTTTAAACAAATTCTACATAAAGTAAAATAATATGCAAGTACATCATCATCTGTACCTCAGTTTCAATGGTGGAAATTATTTTAATAGTAAATATGTTTAATGGGATTTTTTTTGTTGTTTGCATCTTACCTTATTTGTAGTTGATGGAGAAACATTTGCCAATAATGAGTGGGTTCTACTGAACCCTGTTTTAACCCTGTGCTTAGGAGAGAAGAGCATAGCACTCTAAGCTTAGAACCCCACAGTGTAGTACCAGTTGATTTCAACGTGAAATGCTGATATAACCCAAAACAGCTTTAGTGGGTTCATCAGGGTTGATTTTGCTTTTTTTTCAATTGTTTTCCCCTGGTACTTGGGATTGAACTCAGGTCCTCACGTATGATAGGCAAGTGCTTACCACTGATCTCCAGCTTCTTAATTTTTCATTTGTATGTATATGCAAGAAACAGTTGCACTTTCTACTGCTCTTTTTCATTTTTTTTTTTTACTAGAAATTTAATGAGTGCGTCTCAAAAGAACTAAGTTTTACTAATATTTAACCTAATGATCATTTGGGGAAAATTTTCAGAACTTGAAGCTTAAAACAGGAAATTTCTTAGTGTATATTAGGGAATTTAAAGATATCGGAGGTGTATCAGAAGACTTACTGATATGCATTTTGTAATCCAAATGGCTACATTTCATGATCCTGAGAACCAGTTAAGTATCTTGGATGCATTTGAAGTAAAATTATTTGTTTCCATTTTCTCTCATTACCTATATAAACCACTCTTTGAAACATGGAGTAGTTTTTATTTTGTACTTCCCCTTTGCCTGGATAGGCATGTGTGTAGTTTCCTTGATAGAAATATGTTTTATAAGTTCCTTTCTTCACTTAAAATGTATCATGGGTAGCCTTTAAAATCAATACTGTACATGACTATGTAGCTCAGTCTTTCTAATAACTGTACGTAACTTCTAGTATGACTAAACCAGAATTTTTGACAGTTCCTTATTCATAGATTTTTGGATTCTTTCCAGAATATTTTTATTATAAATGATTATAGAGTCAATATTAGTATAAAGCCACCATACTCTTACTTCTTTTGGATTTGTACTTAATGGATTATGACAGAGGTGAGGTATCTATATTAGTAAGACTTTTCCTCTACCCTTACTGAAATCAGTCACTTTAATTTTTGCGTTCTGAAAAGAATGGGATGTCTTTCATGTTGTCATTTGACTACTGAGGCTATTAAGCACGTCTTCGTAATTCTCACCACTTGTCATTCTGCTTTTCTAAATTGCCTGGTTCTTATACATTGCCCACTGTCCTATTGGTTTTTTTTATTTTTTCAAATAAATTGTAGGTGCTTTGTTTTTTTCTCATTGAGCTTATTGGTACGTGTTAGGTGTACAGCACAGTGGCATTCATCATTGGGATCTTGTACCTTTACATGACAGGTCTTGGTTCTCATTTTTTCCTCTTAATTATAAGTGCTTTTAAATATTTGTAACATTACGAATGAAAGTTTTTATGATTACCGGTTTATGTTATACAATTTAAAAATATACAAACTTGGACCAAATTTTTAAAAGTAAATAATTGAATTGATATGATACCTAATAGTCTGTTGATTTTACATATTTCTCCTTTTTGTTGTTTTTAATAAAATATTTTCTTTGTTCAGCTTAATTTAAGAATTTATATTTATTTTTTGTAAAAATATATTTCTGTTAACAGATTAATTTGGTCCGTGTTAAAGTCTCACTCTAAACATTAGTATCAAAGCGTGAAAATAATTTTGATCTTTTTGTTGTTAAAAAACCTCAGATTCTCTCTTGTGTACATTCATGTACGGGTATTCTTTTTAGGGTTCACAGTCAGCAGTACAATATTGCCAGTCCTGTTTTTCACTCTTGGCCTGGGGTACTCTGGAAAGCCCAGCTGGTAAGGCCTTTAGCTTTGCAGAGGCCAGAGGTCCCCAAGCTATGGTAGAAATCAGCAAGTATGTCAAGTTGCCCTTGACATCTCAACTTAAAATCACTGATTGGATAGAGATTAAAGAACCAGCTCTGTCTTTTCAAAGACATGACCTTGCTGGGTTTTATTTATTGTCAGTGTTCAGTTTTGTCATCAACCCTATGTTTATCAAGTGTTAGTGGAGAAATTTGTCTGGGAAACAAAGAAAGCAAGCCCATTCTACAAAGCACTGCTGTATTCCCTGTCCTCAGGCCTGTGATATTGGTGACTTTTGGTGCACTTTTACTGTTTGTTCTGTGTCTTCCATGACATGTTTTTTCTTATCTTTGAATGGTTACAGGGAAATCAAGTCTAGGTTGCTGTTTTTCAGTGACCAGGCTGTACTCCTTAAAACTGTGTTTCAGCAGCTCATAGACAAGTTTCAGATACTTTCCTTGACCTCATAGGCGTTCATCATACTTTAGATACTGAATGTCTGTTAGCTTTTCCGAGCCCAGGGTACACTGTTGCAGTAAACAAGGTTTAACACGGAGAGTTGTTACCTTCAGAACATGATGAGAAACTTCCCGGTGAATGAGATGTGTAATCAGCATAAAAATCTTGCTAAAGGAATTAGATGTGACACCTGCAATGAACCTTGGTTGTATACAGGAGGGGTTATTCCACCCCCGAGTTGCCTAACCTGGTCACAGATTGGTGTCCCGTTTACCACTACGCCTGTCTCTATAGCTATGTGTCTATGGATGTAAATTATTAAAAATGTATCTATATCTCACTATCTCTCTCTATCTATATATTTTCTCCCAAGAATATGTGATGCAGTTTACCTTATGGTGTATCTTTTTCTGAAAGGGAGCAACATGCAGTGATATACAGGTGTCTTTTTTCTCCTGCCTAGTGAAATCTTTATCTCAGTGAGGATTTTCCAGCATCTTCTGGAGTACCTCATTCTTGGAATGTTTAAAAGTACAAAAAAATCATCACCTAAAAGGTCTTCAAACTGATTTCTACAGCAGAGTCACCTAGGAAGAGTGTGTGTGTGTGTGTGTGTGTGTGTGTGTGTGTG